CCCGTGGTCACAAACGTTTTTGTTTATGTTATGGTTCCCTTCTGAAAACTCTCTAAGACTCCACTGTCTGTCTGTCCGTCTGTCACCAGAATGAATCTCATGAATATATCCCGCTATAACAACAAATACCAAAAAAACAGAATACAATAAAAAAAAATCAATGGGCCCCCATACAACCAACGTGAGGTGGTTGCTAAACAATGTATAGGTACTTATCAATAAGTTTTTTATAGATAACGGTACAGAACCCTCCGTGCGCGGGTCCGACACGCACTTGGCCGGTTTTATCTATTCAGTTTGCAGTAAATGAAACATGTTGATGTCTGATTAGGCACACACCGTGCTTAAAACCCCAGCAGACTAAATTGATAAAAAAAATATATTTTTAACTACAATTACGTTTGGAGGTACGTCCTATTTCAGGTATTAAAGAATATAAACTTCTAACTAACTGCCCAATAGACTGAACCGAAATTAGACTAACACCATTAAAAATTGTTTGCTTAAAGCACCGACAGAGTAAATTAATAAATTAAACATTTATTTTTAACTGCCCCAATCACTGAGGCGAACTGAAGTAATAACCTAAATTGTATAGGCTTTACCGGCATGATATCTACTGTGTAATTAGATCAATTTAATTTTAAATATTTTTAAAGAGTGAAGTGAGAAAACTATCAGTGTAGGTAAATGTGCATAAAATGTATAATTAATAATGCATTATTTTAAGTAGCTAACTTTACTAATTTTTTCCCGTATTATTATTTAAATATTCTCGTAAATTACATTACAAGCTTCCATCTGTTTTATCTTGGCTGAAAAGAACATCACTATACAATCATACGGTTCTGTGTAATTGTAAACACAACGCTAGGTGACCCTTGTAAGTAAGAAACGGATAGTAGCTGTTACATAACTTTAAAACGGGATGGTTTTTTCTACGTAATAGAAACGTTTTTAACAAAAAAAAAATAAAAAATGTTTTTTGTAAAAATGTAAAAAAAACCAACCCGAATCTCTGATCTGAGCATAAAATCATTCTATTAATTTTGGGGTACAAATACTCAATTTAGATGGATTAGATACATAATTAAATATATATATGACTAACTATCTTTTATTAGATAACTGCAGTATTAATTGTTGATTATCTTCTATTTTTAGCAAGGTACAGCATATTTTTATGCGGTCATTACGCATTGTGAACAAAGACACCCAAGAAAATCTCTAAGAATTTAAAATGGCCTCTCACTAGCGCGAATAGATAGTCTTACATAGGTTAAATGAAGAAAATCAAGAAAATTACAATTGTCTTAGTTTAAATCGCTCTCGTTTGGCTATAAGTTTAATTTACAAAGATTTGAACAACATGTCAAGGAATACTGTTGATAGAAGATTTTTCATTTAAGTAAAAATAATTGACGTAGTTGTGACCGAATATAAATAAAAAGAAATATAAACATCTGAATTCATAACCTCCTTATTTTTAAAGTCGGTTAAAACATGCAATCTCACTATTATAATAATAATTTATTTTTGGATACTGAAAATAAAAGTCAGGTCCAACTTCTATAGAAATTCGGCCCATGTCCTGTACAAATCACGAATAAGAGGAAACAGTGAATTAAAACTTTTACATCTTTAGAAACTCAGAACATGATGATGAAAGTACCCACTTAGCAAGTATTAGTAGTTAAATATCAACTAGATATATGAGGTTACTAAGAAACCATCTTCTTGGCCTTCCTACTTTAAACTAGTTTAAAAATGAGCTATTCATATGTTTAATGATGGAAACCTTTCATGTCAAAACGATGAATTCAGTATCAAATAAATTGTTTTATTTATTAAGAAAGTTAAAGTTTTTTATCTGTAAGTAAAATAAAAGTAGTAAAGTAAAAGTAGCAAACAACCTGACTGTTCACCTGATGGTAAATGCTAAAGTAAAACAAAAATGCTTACCTGCCAACTATTCCAACCTTTTCCTTTTTAGTCTACATATTTGAGACTTCTTGAACACTACCTTTCAACTACAGGTCTGCGCAGAATGAATGTCAGTCATCGTGCGACTATAACAAGTGAAGCCAAACGTTATCTCTATGGACACTACGTACATATGTACTATATATTTTTTGCACCAAAATTTTGTGTATTGTGATTAATGTGTGTGTAATAAAGTATGAGGCTATGGTACTCTACCAAACTAGCTATTCCATGCACCACAGTGAAAAAGATAATACTGCTTGGCTCTACTCTCACTATAGAAGTGCAATAAAATGAAATCTTATTCAACATCGGGTGAACCAGCGCCTTGCCACCACACACGCTGAACGTATTTGCAAGAGCTCTTTTGACCACCAGTACACCAGGTAACAAACCATTCTGACACAACATTAGGTAACTTTTATGATTGCTGCAGTGTTTTATCTTTTCTTTTAATTTGTATATTTTTGTATATAAATGAATAAAAACTTCCGGCGCTGCGGGATTCGAACCTGCGTCTTCTGGTTTCACGAAACTTTGAACTTTAAACTAGTGAAGTGTCATCCACAAACAAAACGATTTGAGACCTTTTTTATACCACATATGGCAAATCATTAATAGAAACTAAAAACCGAAATCGGCCCACGAGGAAGATTTGTACTATTAACCCCTATACAATATACCATCTAGTATTATTACTTTTTGTTCCCTGTCTGTAAGATACGAAAAAACAAAGGCAATGTTAGATTTGCGAATACCAGAATATTCCAATTTCCTGATAAGAAATGTAATATGGTCTACACAGTGAAATACCCTGAAAGGTCAAAGGACACACCAATAGTGTGTTGGAAGCGGTGAAGGAAAACATCGTGAGGAAACCTGCATATTTTCGAAATAATAACAAAAAAAAAAATTATTTCGAAAATATGTGAAGTCCGCCAATCTTCCCCCCCAACCTCACCCCCCCGCCCCCCCCCCACCCCTCTTTCGCAGTGGGGCCGCGTGGTGGCCTCTGTCCCGATACCCTCTGTACAGTGGAGGCCTTTGCCCAGCAGTGGGACATGTACAGGCTGCTACTTTACTTTACTATTAAACTGATAGTTAATTTTGCTAATATTCATGCAAAGTCACAGATTATAAGATCAATTGCCCATAGTTTATCAAGATTTTTCACCGCTGTGGGACAGACTCTTTAATCACTAAGCCAAACGGATTGGTACTGGCTGATTGCCACACTAACCGACGAAAATTTCAACCTCTTTTAAATACATTGTTTTTTCGCATTTCAAGCAGTGCTTGGCGCATCCATTGTTATATCCCTTACAGCATACAAACAATGTTGAATTTAGTTTTACAATGATAATTCAAACGAAAAATATGACCATTGCTATTAGAAAGTTAATTGTTTTAAGTGCTAATTCCTGCATTTAAGATGAAAAATTAAAATTTGTAGAAATTTTATTTGTGTATGACTGAGTGGTTTTAGTAAGTACTACGATCACATGCCTACCTGCTAGCTTGGTCAGTAGGTCAATTTCCAGGCATCAGGTAATCAAGTTTCATAAAAACATACCTTGATTACTTGATAACTAGAAATTATCCCACTAACAAATGTCGCGGGTAGACATGCGATCGTAGTAGATACTAACCCTCGTCTATCCCGTTCTTCATATTTACATTTTGTTCATCAGAAAATAAGTAACGTCTGGTGGCGATCTTAGACTTTTTAAGTTTAATGATATAGGTACACGCAATAAGTTTTTCTAAATATGTATTCTTATTGTTAATAATCTGATTAAAACTTGAAAATTATTTGTATTTCAGAATAATTGTTTGAAATATTCATAATTTAAATGTTATATTTATAATGTATATTCTGGAAAGTGTACTCCCTGAACTGAGCACTTTAGGTTTGAAGAAATAGTTGGAGATAAATTGGTTTGAGGATGAGATGTTTCACACTTGTAATGATCGCAGTTTAGATAAAGAAAACTTACGAAAAAAGAAAAGATACAGAATTATTGACGTAACTTGGACTTCTGCACGAGAATTCAAAGCGAGTAAGCACTCCCAGGATAAAATTGTTCATTAAAATATTGATTTTTTCAGTAGGTCGTGTATATTGTTAAGAAATAATATGCATGGAAAAGGTTGCAAGTCGAATTTATCTAATCTGATAACAGATTATCTTTATACTTGCACAAGCGGATTATCATTGGTGGTGTAGTTTTCACTACATAATTTACCTACTTTCACACATTGTATACCAATTAAAGATCATATAAATCGTAATCATCCTCTTTTATGGTATCAAATAATACAAATCTTTCGTGATAAAGGCCAACAATTAAATATAGATCAGTGATAAGACGGTTACAAATCTGAGAAACTAGAATTTTAATGATCCTAAGTATTTCTCTTCAATTTTCTCCACTGTAATACGAGCACATAATGTCGTTACATTTTACTTATTGCTTATTTATTTTTTCACCTTATTATCGTCTACGATGACAATGTGGTGTAATTAAAAAAAGTCATGAATTGCATCACATGCTCGAAAACTTTCTATGTATGCGTGTCATATATTAAGTAAATTTGTCTTTTGGTGAAATTATTTTACACTGCGTTTAAATACAGTCACGGAACAATTTAGTGTGGAAGTGGAGATAAATTAAAACACCAAAGATTTCATTTCATTTTGTTTTGTCTGATCTATAATTAATAAAAAAAGGAATATGTTACAATAATGAGAAAATGAAAGCACAAAGGCAATCTTAAAAATCAATCAAATTGAAGTTCTATGGAACAACATGCAAAGTATGAATAAATATAATATCTCCTTTTTAATTATTCATTGAGCAGCTCCATCAAAATCAGTAGTGAAATCAGTTACATACTAAAAATTGTTGGGTGGATGCTCATTTTAAGTTGCGAATTGTCGATCAATACTCTTCGCATTATGTTCAACAAATAAGTATTCTAAATCACAAGAGCGAACATCTATACGAACAGAACTATTGGCAGGTGGTTCCTTCGATCGCTTCGGTGGTGTTAATGCTGAATAGCCTAAAGTTCACCACATTAGGGTCGAGTGACGTGTAAAAGAAACGCGGCAGCCTATCGGTTAAAAACCACATCGTATGCTCTTCGTCCAGCTGAAAAAGAAATTAAACATGATTAGTGATTATTAGTTGATGGTTAAAAATTTAATTGAAAAATTGTATTGCGTTGTTCGATGTATGCAATTGGAGCTTATCAAAATATGTTGAAAAGTACCTTAAGGTCGACAGGGAACTCGAACAATTCCGGATCACTGAAGAGTAATGGATTGTTTTCCGGTGTATAAGGTTTTTGAGAGTTCCAACATCCTAAACCATCGCGAGCTATCTGAAATAATGATAACAATAATAATAATACTGGTTGGGTCCTATTTATATATGTATTATATACAATATTTATATGTATATGTTTATTTTTATCCATAATATTTATTTTATATATACAATATGTATATATATTTTTATTTTTATTTATAAACCCAACCAGACGAGAAAACAAATGAATATCCCCCCAATAATAATACACTAAATAAAAAATCTTCGTCGAACACTTTTGAGAAATAAAAATCGTATACAAGGTTCATATATTAGCAAATGGATGAATGAGGTTTATTTAAATGTTTTAGTGACTTTATGATTGCCTATAGAGATAAAATTGATAGTAGTTAACTAACAAGAAATTATTTAAGTCATGATGATCGTCTTTAAGAACTTTAATAAAACATAATGTGATACATGAACTAGTTTATTGCTAGCTAACCCCACATCGACTTCCCTGAGAGCTCTGGTGTTAGTTTGTAAATATGAAATGAAATATTAGGAGACCGCTCAAAATCTAAACATTAATATAAGGCAGACGTTAAATATAATACATTTTAGTTTTGATTTTAGATAAAGCACTAGAAATATTCTAGAGCCATCTAAACTAAACAACATTGATATGGGAAATCTACACAGGTTGTCCTTGATTTTGCTTTATTTATTAAGATCACTAAAAATGTTTATTATGCATTGCACCTAATTATCTAACTTAATACACCTATACGACGACTGAAACTCTTGTCTTCTTATTTAAATCAATTTTTTCATTAATTTCATTAAATTTTTCTATTCAATCTTGCAACGTTATTCTATCAAGGTTTTAAATATTTCAATGGTAGCTATGGATCCTGTATTCCTGATCTACCATAATAAAAATTATGAAGCCGTTCATAATGTAAACTAAATGTAACTCTTACTGATAAAAAAAAATAAAGGCACATTGAAATTAAAATCTATACATCATATCAATAAAAATATTATGATAACCGGTTATCATACTAAATGCTATAAATGCGTTTGTTTGATGTTGAACATGCATTTTTGACTTAATTTAAAATGTTAATCAAAAAAGCTCTTAAATCAATTGAAATTTGTGTAAGTTTTATCAAAAAGTATGTTTAAAAATATTATAATAAAAAATCCAAAAAAAATTATGATCTAAATTGTGAACGAAAATAAAGTAAAAGTAAAGCAATAGCGCATACTCGTATACGTCCCAACGATGGGCAAAAGCCACCTTTGATTATATAAGGGCACAGTCCACAACGCGAACCCCCCGGAGATTAACTAGTCTGTTAATCTCATATGTTCAAAAAATATTTATTATTATTATTTCGATAATATGCTGGTCTCCTCACGATATTTTTCTTCACCGCTGAGCACGTGATAAATCACCACTTAAAATTGCAATCAACGATTTCGTTGGTGCCGGCACCGAGATTTGAAATCAAGTTGCACCAGTATATTTGATTAAAATTGAGCACCCGGACACTGAGCTATCATGCATTTAAGTATATAGTTTGCTTGCATTCATTCAGTTCCGATGAAAATTTACCTGTGTATAAAACAACACATGTTTGCTCTCGTCGTAGAAACTGGACGTTGACTGCGTGTTTAAACCTCGGTCGCCAAGTAACTGTAAAAAAATTATACATCATTACATTTTTATATATCGTATATTTACATACAATAAAATATTTATACACCACTTTCGATAGATGTGTTGTGTGGTTTCCGGTTTGGTTTGTGTTATAAATTTAATTTCTAGACATCCAATTTATCATTGCAGTATACATCGTGTCGTTACCACCGCGACAATAAATGAACACACATATAGAGGATAACTTTTTAAAATTGTATTAAACATTTACATTCTTTAAACATCAATATTTACCAAGTTATTAAATTTTCCAAAACAAAGAATTTTAGAACATCCTTACCTATAAAAGCGTAACGTAAAGTTCATTTGTAAAGGTCACAAAGCATATGAATGGGTTGAATGAATTTAAAAGAGACAAAACTTACTGTTAGAGATGGAGATGCTTGTAATGCGACGCTGTGGCGCGAGTTGTATAGGATGTTACATTTTTTTTCTTTTTTACTTAATTAGTTTGTTTGAAAAATATTTTTTTTTTAATTATGGATTTTGTTTAATGTTAATATTTTTTTATGATTATTGGCAAGTAGCGTTAGACGTGTGTTCATTTATTGTCGCGATGGTAACGACACGCTGTATGTAATGAGTCAATTTTTATTCAACATTAATGACCATTTTGACCTTTATTTGATAAAAATTCAGGATATTATCGTATGATAACGCGAATGTATTAAGGAGAGATAAATATATTTTATAAACATAATTAATGTATACGGATTATTCGAACAAATTTGTTACAGTACAGTTACAGATCGATGAATCCAAACCTTCGGGCAGTAGGAACAGACAAGAAAAAAAATTATTTACATGTGAAATATAAAGGCGGCGAAGAGCATTTAAGGGAGACTCTTTAGTATGTCAATATTATATCTTTAATATAAAAGATTTTACCAATCCAAACATATATACTAAAGAGATAGTTCCCTCCTCTCTCTATAAACATTTTGTACAATCAAATACAATTTCACATTTTTTTCTACGTCAAACGATTTTGTTATGAAATAAGCTATTTTAAATCCTACCAAACTAAAGAGATTATATTTTTTTAACTATATGAATAGTGTAATTAATATGCATTTTTTAAACAAATCTTTCCTACTGGTTATAGTACTAGTACTTTTTTTATTTGAGAAGATGGCATACGTGATACGCGGTTCACCTGATGTTAGATGATAACCGCCGCCCATTGACAATTGTGACACTCGTAGGGTTGCAGATGCGTTGCCACCTTTTAATAAAATAGGCCCCAGCTACCTGACCCACCAGACGAAACGCAGAAATATAACACTACCACTGCAAACCGGTCTTCTGTCAAATCGTGGTACGTACACGAACGGACCTGCCTGTTCGTGCAACAGAGAAGAGTGTCGCGTGGTCCTACCATAAACAACACTCTACTCTGTGTAATGATGATACTTATATAATACTTAAAAAATAACTGTTGTATGTTTTACGGTAGTAAGTCATTAGCTATGCTACACACCTTAAATTTTTTGAACACCTCGAATCTATCGAATTGTCTGTAATTACGTAGCACCTCCGTCGACACGGAGAACTCCTTTGTACTGCATAAAGCGTGGAAGAACATGGTGCGGTAGCTGTGAAAACATAACGGTCAAGTTACGGACAGGCTGAAGTAAATATCCTTTTTTTTCAATATGTAACTTATGTTATTTTTTTTACGAACTATAAGTGAAATAGCAATCCATAGTTAAAATTTATAATTATTGTGAACTTTTACAGATTCCCTAAAAGATAAGAAATAGCTTTATTCCCTAATATTAGTAAAAACTCAAATCGATATGCTTTGTAACACTTCAGGTGTTTAAAGACCTCGTGCTTTGTTTATGAAATAAATACAATGAGGTCAATGTCGGCTCTCGAGAAAGATTCTAGAGTAGCTTATTATTAATGCATCATTTCACCGAATTTAAGTGTTTAGAATAAATTAATAATATAAGAATATACAATAATAATTAATAATTAATATAATATTATATATTAATAATATATTATTAATTATAAAATTAATATATAATATAATAATAACATTTCCAATAAAGCAAAAGAGTATAGGTAGTAATTATAAAATTTAATAACAGGTCTGCTTGATTTACGAGTACACCAAATGTAACGCATAAATTCAAATATAAGAATGAAATAAAATGTTTAAAAAATATCCGTCGAAGTTCCCGCAGTCGATAAAAAGTCATTTCACGAGAAACATACATTTTACGGTGGAAGGACCACGCAGCAGCCTCGGATGTTGCGCGAATGGGCAGGCTCGGGCAAGTACCACGACCTCACAGAAGACCGGCGTAAAGTATAGTGCCAAACAATTACACATACATACATAATCTCGAAAAACATAACCCTCCTTCTGACGCAGTCGGGTAAAAACAATAACATTCCGAGAGAAACAACAATCTACCGTTAGTTTGTTATTTCTTATCGCTTGATTTAGAATTATAACAGTAGTTACTTTCCATCACTGTTCATAGAGTTTAACCAGATTGTTTAATTCAACACGCATAAAACACATCAAGGGATACTTGATGAACTCACCCGTTCTCTCTTGGCTCGGACAACGCCAGACCGAGCACGCCGTCCGACCATTGGAATTCAAGTCCGCTGATATTAAACGAGCCTCCAAAAGGATCTAAGTGAAAATAGTGATGCTCCACTCGCCACGAGTCGTCCTGTTTCAAACTGTACACAACAACGGCATATCGTCCCAAGTCCGCTACGTAAGCGAATGCGTTGTCGCACGTATTTTTGTCCACATCAACCACCTGCGAAACAATATAGTTACTGAATTATAAATTAATATTTAATTGATTTTTTCTGTATCCTTATTTTTGGATTATTAAACCGAAATATATTATATTTCGGTTTAATAATCCAAAAATAATAATAAATAACTATATATATTATTTATATTGTATTCTGGGTAAATTTCTTATTATTACGTTAATTGATGTAAGTTACAACTATATACTTCGCATGTGGAGTTTACCTCTAATTAATTGTAAATTTAGTTATAGAAATATACTGTATTACTAGTATTTAATGTATAAATGTAATATTTATTTGTACAAATAAATTAAATAAAAAAAATGAAAAAAAAAAACATATTGATTAGAATCAAATACTTACGACATTACCGAAGAACGAATTTTCTTTTGTATCGCTTTTCTTGAAGAAATATCTATGCAGCAGTTCGTCGGTCTTTAGGTCGAATATAACCAACGATGGGCCGACAATTTGATTGGATGGTCCTGTATTTAATTACATTTATTATTCACTACACCAGAATATAAAAACCGCCCAAGAGCAAGTGCGATTTGGACACGCGCACGAAGGGTTCCGTATCATCATCTATAACAACGGTAAAAAAATCATGTTTGCTGTGTGGAAGCCCTACTTAATTATTTTTTCATCATCTGTGAAAATTTCCTCTTTCTATTTCTAACAATAACGGTTCGTGAGATACAGCCTGCTGACAAACGCATAGACAGGCAGACACGGTGGAGTCTTATTAATAGGGTCCCGTTTTACCCTTTGGGTACGGAACCCTAAAAAGGGCGAATTAAATATCTTCACTTGTGCACATATGCGAAGTAGACTTATTTATATTAAACATTAGTGGCTAGAGCGTCGAGACGCGCAATCAGCAAGGCTCATATTAGTATCCTGACAGAGGATACACATTTTGAATTAAATACGGTATCCTATTAAAAACAAAAATAAAAGTATTAAAATTTCTTCGATTTATATTACTTGCGATAGCTTATTATATCGAAATAACGTTATTATTATAGAAAGGAGAGGAGTAGTAGAGTTAAAAATAAAGAAAATATGCAATTGATGATTTTTGAAAATGTTTTGTGTTGCAAATGGCCATGGGCGGCGGCTATCACTTAACAGCAGGTCAACATCAGCTTTCTTGAATATAACACGTAAATTATTACAATCTTCAATAATTATTAATTGATTTGTTTTATTTCTTCATTCATTTCAATATTAAAAAAACTAATTTATTTTAATAAAATTCACAAAAATAATGAATACAGTTTAATTATATCGATAACCTATCTAATAATATAATCTATAGAAAGTACCCATGATATTGAAGTTAAAGGTAAAAATAATGACCTTTATCTCGTCCTTTTCGACCTTTAACCAACGTATTTTCAGTTCTCGGATAATGGAAATGAATCGAGTGAAATTAGTTGTATTGTCAATAAACAGTCTATATGTGTCCCATTTCTGGGCAAAGGCTTCCTTCTCCATCACGGCACACTGAGGATTGGCGTTCACTTATCTCCGAAATTAGCCATATTTCAACAATAATTTCTACATCCATTTATTGATTGGATACAAGAGACAAAAACTCGTTTGACTACAAATATCAACCAAACAAGGTCGGTCCAGGTCAAAGCAGGAAATAATTCGAGCCATGATTTGTTATTAAGTAATTTAATTTTATTTGAAAAGTAAAAGCAGGCGATTCTCCTGACGTTAAGAGAAAACCGCCGCCTATGGACATTTAATTGTTTGGAGATGCGTTGACAACCTTTAAAAGAGTGGACCCCGGTTACCTCACTCACCAGACAAAACGCGGAAGTTTAACACTTTAAATTCACGATGGCCTTCTGTGAGGCCGTGATATTTCCACGGACGCGCCTGCCCATTCTTGCATAAACAGAAGCTGTTGCAAGAATGGGCAGTACGAAAAAGCCTTGTACTACAGCGAAAAAAAAAATGAAAGCTATTATTTACATTAACAAAAATACATTTAACTCACCGAAAATACCTGACTTTCCCGTGTCCATAACCCAGAGTCGGTCGCATGGGTCAATGAAAACTCTGAACACGGAAATGATGGAGCTGTTGGATGGCAACGCGGTTGCGGTATCTGGCACTAGGTTGTCTTTAAGCGATGGATAGGGCTTCAGTGGCTGATCGACAGGACCGTCCAAATCGATATAATTGAGTGAGGACGCCACGCCGTACCTCCATCGGGGAACTGTGATGAACATCTTGTTGTTCCAGCGACCAACCCCCACCGGGAGATTGTTGGCGGGAATGAACAGCTTGGCGCTGATAGCAGTTTCTCTTTGCTCCGGCGAATCCCATTTGTAATCGACTTCCTTCCAAGCGAAATGCAGCTTCGGTGTGACAGCTTTGCATATGGTAAGCGCTGAAAGCGCCAGGATAACTGTTATAGCCCGCATCGTGCTATCTGGAACGACGGTTTTGTGTAATAGAGAGTCGATTTGTGTAAATAAGTAGTTATCTGTTATGAATAGAATAGCAATTTTTTTGAAAAAAAAAAAATGTTTGTTTTTATTTCAATAAACGATTATAGTACCGAGTTTGAACCTCCTGTGTGAATTTGGGTACCTTTAGAAAAGCCACCCTGTATAACGCGCAACATTTCGTAGCAACTTGTCTTTGTTATAATAGATGTTTGCGCAGTCCGTAGACTAAATAAAGTTTGATCGGGCACAGGTTTCGTGGAAAGGGTACGTTTCCTCGAGCTTGGTAGACACGACCTAAGTATGTGAGTATGTGCGTATTAAAAAATGAGGAGATTATGGGCTACTGTCTTCGAGGTCTAAAATGCAGACTGTGTCATCATCGACCTACGACTTTGTTATTTCTTCGCTGAGAGCAGTGAAGAACACATCGCGTACACACAAGGTATGCCTGGGCGGTTCGGCACCCTGGTATACCTTGCGTACGCGATGTATTATTAAAAGTAAGGCCCGAATGATGCGAACGAGTCTCTCTGTGACTTTGAGTGGGGTCGGCTTGTATAGTAAGCTCGGCTCACTACGCCGTTATGCCTGGTTTTGCCAATGCTTTTGCGACATCGAAGAACGCTACAAAGGGCACATATAGGAGCAACGGAGCACATATAGGCTTGTTTAAGGCCTTTTTATGATGATCTCAGTCAGGTAAAGGGCTTGTTTAGGACAAGAATGTATTGGGCGAGAAATCGAACTGCATTAAAGAATAAGGTTGTTAGGGAAAACATGATGTTTAAAATTGTAGGAATTTCGTATAATGTATACAAACGGGAGACTAATTGCGCGATAACTAGTTGGGAGATTGGGTGGTTTATTTGGTTTTTCGATGTCGATAACTATGCCTTCTTCCCAAGTTTAGGGTGGTAGGGCCACGCAGCAGCCTCGGCTGTTGCACGAATGAGCAGCCTCGTCCGGGTAAGTACCACGACCTCAAGGAAGACCGGCGTAAAGTAGAAGTATAATACTTTCGCGTTTCGTCTGGTGAGTGCGGTGGCCGGAGCCCAATTTTCAAAAGGTTGTCAACGCATCTGGAACCCTCGGATGTGGCAGATGTCCATGGGCGGCGGTATTCATTTAACATCAGGTAAACCGTCTGCTCGCTTGGCAACATTTCACATTAAAAAAAAAGTTTCCGAAAAGGAGCAGCTAAAGAGAAGTAACCCATACAACTGGGTTGGTTGGTGGTGAGTCACCGTTTAGGTATCTATTTGTATGTTTCAGAGAGCACAAGGGATCTGTGACAACAACTGGCCGCTGAGCTTCAACATGTTAAGCAAGTTCTACATGACAACAAGCTTCGAGCACCGCGCCTACGTCACAGTGAATGAGTGAAACCAACCACAGTGGAGCGAGTACCTGCTGTTCTACCATACGTTAGAGGAGTCACCGACAAGATTCGCTATATCTTAAAGCAGGCTTAAATTAATACATTCTACAAGCCACTTGTAACTCGCACCCCCCTTTATGCATGTATATATATAATTAAACTTATATATTTTTTCCCCCATTATATGAATAAATCATATAACATCATTACGTGACCAGGATAAATTATTGATCTTTCTAAAGGTAATAATTAGCCGTATGAAATATTATTGTGATCGTCATGTTCGGTAGGACCGCATTTACGTTGTGTTTATTTAATAACTTGATTCTTTTAGGTGTATCTTGGATAGATAAATATTCACTAGTCGTGGTATAAGCCAGAGATAATGCTAGATTGCTTCTTATTAACTAACCCCGACTCGCTTGAGACGGGCTCAGAGTATATAGTATACCAGCATAAAGAGGGCTTGGCCCCTTGGTAGTGCGTAAGCACAATCTTTGACCGAAGTCGCGCATGTCAATGCGTGTAAACGTCATACAAGCCGAAGACAAATCAAGTCTTCGTGAATGTACTCAATACGGTTTTGGGCATGTGTTAAAGATCAGGCACTCTGGCCCTATGATATAATAAGCCCTCCGTAAGCGCCACCACTTTTGCCAGATCACCGCGACTGCAGACGTGATTGTTAGTGTTTTGGCATCACCACCATTATAAAGGTTAGCACATTTCGTCGCAGAGCGCGTTATGAGTCACCCAAGGGTATAGTTAAAACGTTGCACGGCATCGCCGCAGCCTTGAGAGGTTTTCTCCCGCCAGCTACCATCCACATGAGGTAAACGCATATGCTCCACCAACCATTGAAATAGTCAGATATAGCCATAGTTGTGATTTTTATGTTTAGCCATCAGAAGGGTTTATAATTGGCAACATATATTTATTTGTCAGTGTCTCTGACGTTGAGTATAGTGTATTTTCGATCAAGTTTGTCTCACCCACCAGCTAGTTGCCATTATTCGTTCGAACGGTGGGAACTTTACTGAGATTCGTTAATAATGATAAAACGTATAAAGAGGTCAGACAGTCTGCAGTTCCGTCATCAGGAACCCGACTTGGACAAATCTACTGAGATGTGCATCAAACCGAGACGCAGACTCGGCCATTATGAATAGCGTCGTCTCCCAAGCAAATGTCGCAAGACGCAATGTCACCAAATGCAACATGCATCAATACAACTATCGCAGGTCAACACGCCAACATACAGCCTATCCGCATACACAGCAGACATCATCACCTCGAACCTCCGTCAACCAGACTCATACGATGCAATGATATTAGGCGCAGATCACCCCGCAAATACCACAAGACGCAGTACTGCATATAGCCGCATGCATCAATGTGACTATCGCGTAGGTGGCACACCCTCACACCACACCAATACAACTCCAATCAACTTCAGCTCCAAAGTTTAGAATATACTCGGAACACACGAAGTGTCCAAACATACTCTTTCACGATCCGAATGATAGTCGACGTATCATAGCGTAAACGCTAGGACGCCAACCACCAACGGACCCCCACCCCAGTCAAGCAATAGCCAACGTATCATAGTGGAATACACTAAGACGCAAGCCACCACCAGACTCCCCAAAGTCAGATGATCAATCGACGTATCATAGTGCAACACACTAAGACGCCAACTACCACCAAACTCTTACTATGCCGAATGACAGCTAACGTATCATAGTGATGGTCACTAAGACGCCAACTACCACCAGCTATCGATGATATGTCCACCACGGAAGACATATCCATTCATGGTTCCACGTTTACCGTAGACCATATCGTCGTACAGAAGTGCCATGCAACTCCATAGTAATATGTCTTATAAAGTCCCAAGTTATTCATTGCTCTTCATTATATTTATATATTTATTATTTTTTCTCTGAGCCTTCACATATTATCACTTTTATTCATTAGACCTTACTTCCATATGATATTGGTATGGGACGTTCATACAATGTACTTTGACTATAGTACTAAGAGTCGCGATCGACCTCTGTACTTACATATGTGCGGTCATACAAATGTGTCCCCGCACGGTACATAATACTTCCCTTAGAAATCACTAAGTATGGAATTGTATTTAATGGACATAATAGTGATCGTATCTTGCTATATTTTTAATAAATATCCTTTTTTGAGTATTTTAGTTAGTACTCCAGTTAATACATGTATAATATGTATTTGTTTACAAAAAAAAAACATATGTTTAAGTATGTTAATCGGTTATCTAGTACCAATAGTACAAGCGTTGCTTAGTTTGGGACTAGAGAATGTGGTGTAAAAATGTGCCCTAAATATAATATTATTGTCATCTCCCTATTTTGCAAATGAAATTTTTACTCGATAACAATATGTAATACCAATAACTCTTAGTTATCTGCTACTATCGTGATCTATCTTATCATTCTATGGATTTCTTGGGTGCTACAACGAGATGTGTTGCGCAACTCTGTTTTATCAACTCTGTCACTTGCGATATACAATGAATGCCTTTGTTATTTTTATTTGATTCTTTTAACTATTCTTGAACTCTTTATTTAATTGATAGTGTTTTCGCCGTCAGTCTTAAGGAATAGCAATAAAGCCCCTAAAAAAGCTTACAAAACACATGCGATCTTAATTCGCCGTGAGAGACTAAGGGCTATTTACGTACGTATTATTGTACGTACTCAATTAACAGACAAATTTAAGAAAAAAAAAATATTTTTTTTTCTCAAATATCAACAACAAAACAGGTTTTTAAAATAGCTAAAATAACCTGACCTAATAATAATTAATATTTTTTTTAATAATGGAGTGCTTGTTGTTAAAGCCTTTCTAGTGGAATATTTAATTCTAACATATTTTCTGGTTTTCAACCGAGAATCTAAACATTAACATTATTTCAAACAAAACTCATCAAAATTATACGAAATAACCAACCAAAAACTTTTCCACAAATTTTAACAATCAAAAACTATCATATCTCTTAATACATTAATTTCAAGACCAAGGCATTTCATTCTGGTACAAAAGAATTATTAATTCGCTATTTAGGTCTTAAAATATGACATGTTTATGAAACTAATTTATTTACCGGGTATAAAGTCGAAAATTAAAATTTATATAATATGTGTAATAAGCCGTAATTCCCTTCTTGCAATACCTCTGAATATTTAAGACAGTACATTTAACAATTGCATAGTAAATTCAAACTTTATCGATTTTTCATACTGGCTTAACCAAAAATGTGCTCAACAAACTGCTGAGGACATGAAGCGATTAGGGCTGGTATGTGATAGCGGACATGTTTTATATGTGGATAATTCTTTTGTTAATATGTATTTTTATACAATTGTGAACTTTTGCAATAATACAAAATAAATAAGAAATAAGATGTACAATACAATCTATCACAAATGATACTTTGAGAAGCTCGGTAAAACATGAATAAAAACTATGTAACAACCATATTTACTTTTAAATACAGGAAGAGGACCACCGTTGTACTTTGTGAGTATTTAATGCAGAATGTGGATAAAATCAACGTTTT